GGGGGGTTGGGAGAGCAGTTGGGGGAAACCAGGCAGGGGAGCGATTAGGAGCCAGTGGTCCTTGTGAGAGGGATGTCCGACTGCCGGTTTAGGTCCGATCCAACCAGCAGTCGGACATCCCTCAAGGGGTCCCGGATTGGAGAGGGTGCAGGCTGGACTGAGGGACATCTTCACTCACCCACCCACACGAATTTTGTTCACTGGGCCTCTAGTTTATAAATAAATATGTATTTCTTAAAACAGTGAAATACCATTATCACAAAAAAATAATTTTTCTAAATACTTAATTTTTTGTAAACAGTGTTTGAATCATGATCCAATTTAAAACATTGGATCTAACATTATAGTTCCCCTCCATCAATTTTTTACTTTTTGCCTTGAAATTAATTTATGAAGAAAACAAGGTTATTTGTCCTGCGGAGTTTACCAGATTTTGTTGATTTCATACCTTTGATATCGTTTAACATACTCCTCTTCCTTATGGTATTTCTTGTAAATTTGCCTTTGGAATCAGATTTAATCATTCATGATTTTGTTTTGTTGGAGGGGGCCAGTATTACCTCATAGGTGGTGGTATTCTTCCATCAGGTGGTACCTAATATCTAACTGTCTCATTGGATTATTAGCCACCATTGATGTTACAGAATGCCTAATCCATCAATTTATTAAAGACTGAAGAATGGCAGTATTTCAGTTTTATCATTCCTTCATTGTTAGAAACTTGCCCTCATCCACTATTTGGCTACTTGATGGTGTAGCTTATAGAGCAGTGATTCCCAAAGTGGGCGCTACCGCCCCCCAGTGGGCGCTGCAGCGATCCAGGGGGGCGGTGATGGCCACAGGTGCATTTGGGGGCGATGAGTAACTGCTATTAAAATTTTTAAAAAATTAATTTCCAGGGGCTGAGTAATATTTTTTCTGGAAAGGGGGCGGTAGGCCAAATAAGTTTGGGAACCACTGTTATAGAGGAAAAATTGGATAAATGCTTGATTCTTTCTCTTTATTTGCGAGTTTCAAAATAGTTGCTTCATCATCTTCCAATGGTCACCAGTTAGTTGTGCATTTTCTCCCTTGATTTGGTTACTTTATGAACCTCCAAGTCATTTTTTTTCTTAAGTTTAAATAGAATCTTAAGGTTTACTTCCCACTCTGCTAACATTACCAGGGCCTCCAATGTGCTAGTCACTTCTGGCTCAGTAATTTCAACCATTTCAATGTGGTGTTCTGTGGGATGACCAGATAGCCAGATTTCTTCACACTATTATGACAGAGTTATCATGGCTCTGGGCCAAAATTATACATATGTTGTCTGCTACATGTGAATTGCTTTTGTTCCTCTTGTCATGTGATAAGCACATTTACTCTTTGCTGGCAGTGTGAGAAAGGACAGTATAGCAATTGTAGAGGCTTCTTGATAACCTGTATCCCACAGGCTAAAGATGTATGTGTGGAGTCATGACAGTTATTAAGTATGCCAATTCTGGTTATACATACAGAGACAGAAATGACACCAGATGGGTCCACAGAGCGTATGCACTTTAATGTGACCACTTATTACATACATTTATAACTTGGCCAGCACTCTGTTTACTGTATCTCCACATCCTCCCCTCATGATGATACTTCAGATCTTGGGGTATCAATATTGCCTTAGACCCCATGTCCAATGGCCCTCCCCCAGATTATTTGGTTAGTCCCCTTCAATGTATAGTTACTTGAGTAAAAGGCCATAATTACTTTGGGCACAGGATGGGTGAATGTTTTAGTCTGTACTTGCTGTTTTGCAAGGAACTTCCTCCTGGGTACCCAACCTCTTCATTCGGTGTGCTCTGAGTTGAAAAACTGACTTGGGTCACAGCACGGGGTCATGACTTTTTAAATTAGGGCAACTTGCCCAGCCAATGTGGCTCAGCGGTTGACTCAACCAAGGAGCCAAGAAGTTACCAGTTAGATTCACCGTCAGGGCACGTGCCTGGGTTGCAGGCTCGATCCCTAGTAAGCAATTGGTGATGTTGCTCTCATTGATGTTTCTATCCCTCTTTCTTCCTCCCCCTCTAAAAATCAATAAAAAACACTTTTAAAATAATAATGAAAATAAATTAGGGTAATTCCCCTTAACGTCTTTGTCTTCCATCACTGATATTCTGATGATGAATGCTGAATAGCATCATATTTGGCTTCCTGTCTATGTTCCCTGAAATGTGCTGTGTTCTATTAGCCATAGCCGTAACTTGGTTTAGTCTCCTTAGCTGCCATTCCAGTCCTGATGCACATTGTGATCATGGTGTCCATCTGGCTTTTATTGCTACAGGAGCTAAAATTTTATCTCCATTGCTATCAGCAAACCTAGTTTTACAACAGCTGTATCTACCATCAACCCTGCCTTATTGTAGAGCCAGTACTGAACTTTGCACTTAACCAAGTGATCAAGGTTAA